ACCAGGGTGCGGGTGTGCAATATTATGGTACCCCTTTTTCCCGGCCCCGCCCCCACCTCTTCGTATTCCACCAGCACCCTGCCCTCGACCACCGAGGGGCGGGACACCACCGCTGAGCAGTACGTTTCAGGGAACCCCTCCCGCGAGTCCCCCTCCACCTCCACCCGCAGCCGCGGCTGCAGCCACGCGGGCCCCGGACCCTCGCCGTCTGATTCGTCCCCCGCCGCGCCGCCGCGCTTGGCGAGCGCCGCGGCCGCGGCGGCGCCCCGGCAGCGTAGGGCGGGGGAGGGCGGCCGCGCCGCGCCCGCGGAAGGCTCTGCGGCGGGCTGCGCGCGGGACGGCGGCGCGGGGGCGCCGCTGTGCGGCAGCTTCGCAGAGGCGTGGCCGCTGGCCGCCGCCTGGGGTGAGTCCATGTCGGTTGTGAAGCGCCTATGCGTGTTGGAGCAGCACGCCTGCTGTGCGCGGCGCGCCCAACGGCGTGGCCCGCACAGAGCCTAAGGGCCTACAAAATTTTGACGAATGAATATGCAATGTTACGCAGCTCTAATGACAGGCAGCCGCCTGGCGGGACGCGGCCTATGCTAGCTGTTCAGGCGCAACAAAAGCCGATGTGATCTTGTCATACAAGCGCAGTACTAATGCACGCGAGAGGTCAAATTGAATATATACGCATTGATTGTAATGTAACCGCTGTTCTCGGTACAGTGGAGCGGTCCATGTGCCCAGTGATGGACACGATTTTCTGGCGGGGAATCGGACTGTGTACGCGCTAGCGCCTTGAGAGGAGGTTTTCGTCGTGATGTATGTGTCCTTGGTTGTCTCGGTGCAACCGGCGCGCTGGACGAGGTGGCCACACCTTGGCGGCCATCCGCAGGCCCTCGTCATCAGTCAGGACTGGCCGTGACAGTCGAGCAGGCCACGCAGCAACTCCGAGTGGGGGCAGGCACACATCGAATGCGTGCATGATGCCGCAAACATATTCTGATAGTCAATCCGGCAAACACAACCCTGTTGGGGTCCCACGGTCAGGGTTTGACCACTAAGCCTTGCATCGCTGTGCCATCACTGAGGGGTGGCACCCTGGCTGTGCGCCAGCTATCGGAATACGGTCACAGCTAACACGCATCAGGCGACTTGAGCCAGCCCTGATACGAACATGATGCAACTCGAAGCCCGTTTTGTAGAACAAGAGGGCTCTCCAAAATTACTAAATGCGTCAAAGCCAGCTGCAGATCCACCTCATTAACTGGACTGCAAATGCACGCAGGCTGCCGCCGCCATCCCGCTGCGTCCGTTGCTGCTGCAGGGCGTCAGTGGCTGGCCCCAGTGCCATTGATGCTGTGCACAACTACTGGGAAGGATGAAGAGGGCCGGGGTGGCGAAACACGAGGCGTGGGGAAAGCGCGGCGATGGGGGGAACAGCCCCAGGGTGATCCGTGGACTTGCTGCTGGAAGGTGGTGCCGGGCGGCTGCCCGGGCTGAGCTATGAGGCGAGGCCTGGCGTGTGTCAAAAATTAGCACACTCGCGGCCACACAAAACCGTTCCCGTTTGACGCCAGCTAGCTGCATTTGGCAGCTGTCATGCAGAGCGCCACTGCCTGGGCGCGAGGCCGGGGCTGGTGTCACAACAGCAACGAGCGCTCACGTTGCATGTGCATGTGCGAGCGAGGCGATGCCGCTGGTTTGCAGACAGTATGAACGAAGCAACCTTGAGTAGTACGGGGTGGGCACCGCCATCACATGTGGCTGCGCGTGCATGATTGTTGGGGGCCCGTGCACAAAGTCAGAGACATTGCCTGAAGCCTTGTGGGGGTCAACCGCACTCGCAAGTGCGCAGCCACACGGGGGTTACGATCATGCTGTGCACGGCTTGCTGACAGACAGGCAGTGACGCGTTGCTGATTTGCAACTCTGATGGTGGGTGCAGGTGGCTCGGCCTGATCGCCCGGCGCCACTCATGCTGACTCTGAATAAGTTGCAATCGTGCCATCCAATGATGACGCACACGAATACCGACGCCCTGCGCGGTTTTCTTGAGTGCACAGGCGGCTGGGTGTGCCGTCACGCAGGCGCGCGACGTTGCTCGATGTGGCGCGCGCTTGGGTGTGCAACTGCGCCGCGTCGTTTTTATTTCGTGGGCAGGGGGGAAGAGCGAGAGTACCAAGTGTCCACGCCGATTCAAGTGCGCCGAACCAATCAGCGCAGCCCGCCCTGGGCCTCACCAGGGAGGAGGGTATCAGCAGCCAGTGCCGCCGTGCCCTGGCCTGCCCGACGTGCCCACCAGGGAAGTGCCCTTGTATGAATCCAAGCTGCTTTGCAGCAGCAGACAACTGCCACCCCGCTCAGTCCGAGCGGCAGCGAGCACAGGGACCCACCTCCTGATTTACACAAATGCTGCTGTTTGGTTTGCTGTGCTGTGTCGCTGTTTGGTGGACGCAAGGCAGGCGCTTGCACACTGGGAAGCCGCGGCCCCTTTCAGGTTTCATGGCGGGGCAGGGGGGCCAGGCGCGCGCCATAATGAAAAGGTGGCGCGTTGGCCTGGACCGCGCCATGTGAACGGCAGTCGAGTGCGAGGGGGTTTGCAGGTAACCAGCTGTGCACAGCGGCCGCAGTCAAGGTGCTGCTCCAAGGCGGAGGCGGTTGAGGAGAAATGTGCGGCCGCTGCCCGGCGCAGCAGGCACGCGAGCCGCTGCAGCACGGGTTCCGCGGCAGCGGCGGCGGGGCGACCGGCGGCGCGCAACGCGACCGGCGCGGGCTGCGGGTCTCGCAGGGGCAGATGTCGCACATGGGACGCGCGGTGCATGGCATGGGCGCTGCGCGTGCACTGCCACGGTAGCCGCACAGTAGCGCCCTGCCGCGGTGCCTGCGAGCGGTGCGCGCGCCGCTGCCTTGATCGCGTGCGCCGCTGGCCGGGCTGCTGCACGCCTGCGGCACGCGTGTCGGCCCCAGATGATGGAGGATGAAATGTGCGGCGCTACGCTCATGAACCAGTTGCTGTTCTGTTGACAACGGGATGACGGGTTTCGGGGCCAACGCCTGCAGGCCAATCGACAAGCACAACGTAACTCGGTGCTGCCGCCAAACTCCCAAGCAGGGCGGTGCGCCGGTGATGACTGGGCCGCCGCCGCGCGAGCCACATACGTCAAACAGAAACAGGCAGTGCAGCCGCAAACAGGTCGGGAACCCACAAAGACGAGGGCTGCTCAGCCGCGAGCCGCCACGGCCGCCGATGCGTGCGCTGGGAGTGCCTGCGCCCCCGCAGCCGGCGCCCGAGGCGCCCCCAGCCCTCGCCGCGTCACCACGCGCCACGCTCCCCATTGTCCCGCAGCCACCCGGGGTGCGGCAGGCCGGGCGGCGGCAGCGGCGCCGCGGCGCCGGGCGGCGGGGGGCTGTCGAGGGGGATGTGTGTGTCGCGCGACTGCCAGGCATCAGGCAAGTCTTCCCGGCTTTCCAGGTAGGCGGCCAGCTGCGGCGCTGTCAGCGCGGCGTTGGGGCCGATGGCGTGGCCTGGCGTCCGAGGCGCGGGGGCGGTGATTGAGGCGGGGCCGGGGGTGGGGGGAAGGGGTGAGCAGCCAGTGCGCAGCGGGTGATATATGGGTCAGATGGGGGGCGGCATGTGTGCGCCGTCCATTCTGGGTGTGAATTCTAAGGCGCGGGTGCAACGGCGCTGTCTAAGGATCGAGGCTCTTGGACACCGATGGCTCAGCGCGGCCGACGCCGCTGGCGCCGGCGTTGGCCTTTCTTTTGCCCCAGGCCGCGACCGCATCGCTAACGTAACAATCGAGTCCACACCCTCTCCTTGCAGGCGGCGCCGCGCAGCGCGGCGCCGCTGCCGCAAGTGAACCATCCACGGGTGTCCCCATAACAGGCATACCGCCACGCTTGTGTCCAAAGCGTGCTCATCCGAACAACCAGAAACACAACATGACATCCCACCAGACTAAGCCAACAAGCCGGCCGGCGCGTGTGCCCCACTCGCCTCCTGCATGCGTCAGACCACGCGCGGGGCGCCCGCATCGCAGAGCGCCCACACCCCCTCCAGCTCACCGCCATAATGGTCGACGCGCAGATGCTTCGACGTCGTCACAGCCAGGCCGCCGTCCCCAAAGCTGGCCAGCCGCGCGTCGTTCGGCCCGTCCTCGTCAGCGCTCTCAAAGTCCTCGTCGGCGTCGGAGCGCGCGGCGAGGCCTGACAGGACCGCGCTGACGCCAAACAGCGCCGCGCCAATCATGCCTGCGGTGGTCGTGGTGGGGG